TTTGTGTATACGAAACGCAAAGAGTGCTCAATATCATAAAGATAGAGCAAATGTAGACTTTCGCTTACCCGAAAATTCCGCAATAGTCTGTTCCGAAAATAGGGCTGCTTATATGTGCTTTTGCCGAAACGTGGGGGTCTGTGGGTGAATTCATGGTGGATTCTTCTGGTACCGTGTAAAGCCTGTTTTCCACTAGCGAATTTGTTCCCGCGAATCTTTTGTATTATGAGCTCTTGGCTGGAACTAATTAGATTTTTAATCAGTTCTTTTTAATTGAAACAATAGAAAATTCACTACGCGCAAAGAAATTCGCTAGTGGAAAACAGGCTTAATTGGGGCCTAAATCACACGTATAGGCAATCTGCCACCTGCAAAAGCGATTCCCCCAACCCTCGCCGTATTTATATCGTCTTGATTCATCCCAAAGCCCCAAGCACTGTTGCTTTTCAGTGTTTCCACTTGTAGCGAATTTTTCCAAATATGAACTTTAATTTACAAACTTGAATTTTGGCGGAGATTTGACACCTTCATCCGCCAAAATTCAACTTGCGAATACGAACTATAATGTTGCGAATACGAACTATAATGTGGGGAATACGAACTATAATGTTGGGAATACGAACTATATTAATAATGTTGGGAATACGAACTATAATGTTGCGAATACGAACTATAATGTTGGGAATATGAACTATAATGTTGGGAATACGAACTATAATGTTGCGAATACGAACTATAATGTTGGGAATACGAACTATAATGTTGCGAATGCGAACTATAATGTTGCGAATACGAACTATAGTTGCGAACACAAACTATAATGTTGCGAATACAAACTATAATATTGCGAATACGAACTATAATGTTGCAAATACGATCTTTAATTTTGGCGGAAATATGACGCCATACTTTCAAGCTGTGATGAAATTTTTGTGCAGACTTGTCTAGATCAAAATGTTGTTCATTAGGGAATAGGTTAGCAGGAATAGGTCCATTAATCATTATGAAGCCTTTAGCATTTATAGCCAGGCCTTGCCCCCATGCTATAAAACGTAATATTGATTATTTCACAGTTTAAAAATATTTCACACGCAATTTGATATAGCAGATTGAGATTATTTTTGTCTCAAAACACAGGTTTTCTTTGCGCCAAACCTTGCGCTTTGACGAAACTAGTTCTGCGTTTACAAAATAATCAAGCATAAAACTAGCAAATATCGTGTAATAAACACAAGAGAAGATCGTTTTACATCATAAACTTTCGCAATTCGCACTATTTGCATGAATGGCTGTCTCGTGACCATGACCGATGATCGGAATTTTTCGAAATCAAGTCGAACTCGAAAAACAAAGAATCGTTAAACGCTCGACCTCTGCCGTCAATTTCCGAAGTGGGCATCTGTACAACGTCGCATCCTTGTTGAGCGTAAAGCGGCCACAAAAACCTTGAATATTTTTACTCCTAATATATCAGACATGTTACAGTAAAAATCACGAAGTTAAAACTCTTTGTTTGACATATATAAACAAATACCTATCATGGAACGGCTCAACCAATCAAAAACCAATATTAAAAGCGAACTCATGACCTTTTGTCACAAGACTTTGAAATTTGAATATTTCATTTCAGATCAAATTCTTGTCTCGACAAGACACTCTACATACGTGGCAATAAAACGACTTACAAAGAAGTGATATACGTCTGTTTTTTAAAACGATTCTTTCAGTTAAAAATTTCAACGAAATACTACTACAAATCTACGAGAACAAAGCCTGTGTATACATATATCTATATAATACTATATGGCTGTTTATATAAGGACGTTTCAGTAAAACTTCCTTTATAATTTAAGAACGGCGAGTATAAAGTATGGCAGCAAATTATCCACTCGGGTACGATGACGAGAGATTCGAATCGATAGTAGACCAAAATTTCCACTGTTTAATTTGCTATAACGTATTGAAAGACCCCGTGACGTGCCGCAGAAACGAGCACCATTTTTGTCGTGGCTGCATCACGGAACATCTTCAAAGGAATTCCCATACATGCCCAACATGCGCTGACGAGCTGAGTGTCGAAACGTTGGCTGAAGTCCCAAGAATTGTGAAGAATTACTTGGATGAACGAAACATTCGTTGCGATTATTACGACAGAGGATGTCGAGAACTCGTACAGCTGCAGAATTTAAAGCGACATGTCGCCGAATGCGGGTTTACTCCAGTCGTTTGTGGAAATCAAGGTTGTGGTGAGACAATCAGTAAAAGAGATCGTACATATCACGAGAGTGAACTATGTCAATTTAGAAAGTTAAAGTGTCACAACTGTGGAGAAATCAGCACGATGATGGCGGGAATGAAAACGGAAATCGCAAACCAGAACACGAAAATAGCCAACATCAACAAGAATCATGCAAACACGAACACGAGCATAGCAAATATTAGAACGGAAATAGCAGATATGAACAGGAAAATGGCAAATATCGACACGAAGATGGCAAACACGGACACGAAACAGGAAAACATGAACACGAAAATAGAGAACTTGCACGCGAACGTGGAAGCGAAGTTCGAAGCGATGAATAATGAAGTAAGAGGAATAAAAATGAGTTTAAATGAAGTAAAAAAAGATGGCTTTGATCACTTGAAAGAAGCAGTACTTGAGAAGATAGAGAGCAAAGAAAGAAAGCAGGAGGAAATCACAAGAGATGTAAGTGGCACAGCGAGTGGCGGGAGAGAAAATCAACATATATTTGTTGCTGGTGGTGGGGGGACAAACTCGGTAGAAATATTTAACTACCGTCAGAGATTGTGGTCTTTATTGAAGCCCATGCCAGAGAAGCGTCACAGCGCATCTTCATTTGTTTACAATAATCACGTGACTGTAGCGGGAGGTTGGTGTTGTGGTTCTGTAGATGACATGATCCGAATGAACATCCACCCAGTCCCTGATCTCTCAATTAACTGGAGTGATTTTGCTGCCAAACTTCTTGCCAAGTTGTCTGCACACAGCAGTGTGGTGTACAAGGATAGCTTGTTGGTTACTGGAGGTTTTAATGTATATCAACGTGTCGTCTCTGACTGTATTCACGAAGTCCAACTTAAACCACCTTACACTGTTAAACTGATATCCAAGATGCCTGAACCAAGAATTCATCACAGCACAGTACTGTGTGATGATAGTATTTTAATCGTTGGGGGAAGGAAATCAGGGGACTGCGAAGACAACCTCAGCAGTGTGTTAAGCTATGACATCAAGAAAAAGGAATGTCAACAGTTACCTGCGCTTCCCTATCCAGTGAGTGAAATGGCGACAGTCAAGTGGGCTGAGAATGTGGTGATCATTGGTGGGACTGACAAGGATGACAAAGCATTAAACAATGTTATAATTTATAACATTAGGACTGGAAACAGCCATATGTTGCCTCCCATGTTACACAAGAGGAAAGGATGTATGGCAGTTGTTATTGAGAACACAATTGTAGTACTAGGAGGAAAGGATGAGAGAGAGAATTTTTTGAAATCAGTTGAAGGTTTCGATTTTGAGCGATTTTCATGGCAGGAACTTCCTGACATGAAGGAAACCAGATGCCTGGCTACAGCTGTTGTGATCTAGACATGATCGAAAATTATTGTATATATATTTTGTAGAATATTTAAACTTTGACATATATCTCAAAAGTTTTAAAATTTATTCAAAAACTCATTAATAATTCATGAAGCAATTATCCAATCTTGAGTAAGAAATTAGTCACGTGCATACGTCTTTATACCAGCTAAAGAACACTTTAACAAAAGACCATTGTTATGCAAACTATATAAAGATTTTTATATGAAGATTTTTATATAAAGATTTTTATATAAAGGTTTTTGTATAAAGATTTGACTCGCAGGTCGTGTTTTATTAGGTCTAAAGCCACTCGCGCTGCGCGCTCGTGGCTTTAAACCTAATAAAACACTCCTGCTCGTTTTTTAAATAGTACGTATAGATCAAAGAACTGCTTGACTGTTGAGATGTGGACATGTTCGATATTTTTTGTAAATATTATGTAGAGTAGAATGTTAGAATGCATGGTAGAATGAAATATACTTTGAAATTTTCCAGTTTATAACATAGATTAAAGAACTATTTTAAACCATAACCAAACAGTCATGAACTTTTAGCAGATAGAAGTTTTTTTTATGAATTTTTGTCGATTTGACCAGAAATCCAGTCAACTGTCATTAACTCCCATGCCACTCTTGTTCCCAGTGTTTGAAAAATCATGTAAGTAGAGTTTGGTTGGTTCATCCACTCTCACGTACTCTCGTTGACTTTGAACTGGTTAAAATTTTGAGAGTTGACAGGAGTTTTCGCTATCAATTTCGACCGGCAATTTTATTTGACGAGTACGTGGCCATTTCTCATCGTTACGGTTTAAAAAAGGTATGAAAGAAAAGCTAGGTAATAGCTCTTTCGTCCTATGTAAAAATTAAACTGTTTAGCTAAGTTGATGACGCAAGACAGCCAGCCTGTTGAATTTCCATAGCGGATTGTTTTTAGACACCCTGTACACTCCGACTCCTATGACGATTAAAGGAACGAAAAAAAGGTGAAATATTTTGTGCGACATGACAAAGCGGAGAGATTCAAAATGAGTAGGAAAAGCAACCCTTGAAAGCATCTCAACCTAACAGTCTTCTTAGGCTATTAGCTCATATTAGAGACCTTATGATTTTAGGACGGGAACGCGACGTCAAAAGAAACTCCTTCAAATAAATGGTAGTGAAGATAATTCGTGGTATTTTTATTAATAGTGTGAATTTAATACAATCTTAAAAGTTGAAGACATGGGTTTTATGTTTGGGAAGAGTTCTGCTGAACCCAGTTTGAAGTTGCACTTGTTGCGGCCTGAAATGCAGCCGTTGTATCAAGACGTGAAACTCTGTGATTTGGCGTTGTAAACAGAGCGAAGACAATGTCTGAATTATTCAAATATTGTAAATACTCAATTATTTTCAATGATTTATTGTATTGGTAGCCGTTGCCGTCGTGTTGCCGTCCTAAATCGTAAGGTCTCTATACCACTCGAGTTCGCAGAATAACGTTTCACTATACCTTGTCGGGAAGAGATTATTTCGCTGGCCTCAGAGTGAAAAAACGTAACAAAGGAACAGTTTTACTAACACTAGCCCTACTCCAAACACCTACCCTAACCTAACCCTACTCCAAATTTGTTTCTAAATCAATCTTGAAGAAAAAAGTTTTGACGAAATGTCATTCTGAGGTCAGTAAAATAGTTGATGCCTACCTTGTCGTCCTCGTTTTCCGTGTTATCCTCATCTACCCCTTCCTCATCGCTTTCATCGGCTTTAGCAGTTTTATACAGAATACTGCTTTGATATTCCATCACAGTCCTCTTTGCATCCTTCGTTTTAATTTGAAAACTGACTGGCGTCGAACTAGGCACCAGTATCCCGCTCTTTGCTCCGTCACTACTCTTCTTTCCAGACTCCGCGGGGTTGAGTTTAAACTCGCGGATTCTTGTCTGGTAGTAAGTGTAATGGTCGCTCGTTTCGTTGATGAAATCAAACCTGGATTAAAACAAAAAAGGTACGAAATGAATGATCAAAATCCATCGCAACAGCTAGAAAGAGCCTGTTAAAATAAGTAAAATTGCAAAGTTTGGTTGCGAAATGTTGTAAAATGTAGCCTGCGAACAGGCTCTCAAGCTGAATTGAGAGCCTGCATCGATGACTAATGAATTTGAATATCTGCCCCGTAACGTTCGTTTTTCCAAATATGGAATGTCTATCCTTATATGGTGTTGTTTACAACTTTCGTGCAAACTAAATTTAGACCGTGCAAACTAAATTTAGACCGTACAGTTTATACTGTTTTTCGAAATATAAGATATTCAAGCAAATATTCAAATGTTTTAAATACTGTTTTCTCAAAACAGAACATTTCGTGCTTTGAGATAAGATAGCCAAGACCAATTTGATCAGCCAATGCGTTTTTTATGCATAGACAGTGCTCTTGATATATATAGAGCTCAGCGGAAACATATAAATTAATGATAAATTATAGCATCTGACCAATGAGAATTTCGCGTCACGATTTGAGACGCAGATATCCAAATTCATTAGTCATCGATGCAGGCTCTCAATTCGGCTTGAGAGCCTGTTCGCAGGCTAGTAAAATGCGGAAAATATAGCCCTACGAAATTTGCAAATTTTGTATTCATTTGTATTACGCGCGGGAAAATGCACCACTTTCGGCCCAAATGTAGTGCATTTTCCAGCGCGTAATACAAATTAATACAAAATTTCGTAGGGCTATATTTTCCGCATTTTACAACATTTCGCAACCAAACTTTGCAATTTTACTAATTTTAACATGCTCTTTCTAGCTGTGGTGATGGATTTTGTTCTTCTTGCCTAGATCAAAATTTAATCTATAGGTGGAATCATCCATATAACAATACGAGCGTACGTTAGGTATAAGAATGAAGACGTGAGGAATCAGGACAAAATATTCTTCAAAAAAATAGATTCAGATTTCCTCAAATAGGGTTCGTAGTCTCCAAGACCAAAAAAATTCAAAGACTTTCAAAGATTTTTTCTGCCTATTTTCAAAGACTTTTCAAAGACCTTTGAGAGCAATCAGCTGTCGAAAAATTGCGAGTGTAAGCACCATTTTTACCCGGTAATTAGTCCCGCCACATCACATCCTAAAATCCACCTTTTCGTCGATATTTGCGAAAATCTTGCTTCAATCAATCTATTTTATTAGCTAGGGAATCGTATAATCAAATGCTCACAAAAGAATTTAAAGACTTTCTTCGCCTTTTCACACAATTCAAAGACTTTTCAAAGACCTTAAAGACCTGAATTCAAATTTAAGGACTTTCAAGGATTGCAAAGACCGCTACGAACCCTGTCAAATTTTTCCATGTCGTGTATTTTTGGTGAAAATTATTTAGCACATTAAGAAACCAGTCATTATTTATGGCGGGTGGCACCGAAGAGAAATGTTTTTCTTGGCAAAAATGTTGTTGATCCAACCATTAAAAAGTTAACATTTTTTACCCAACTCGAATATCACTTCAAAAATAAATACCCACACCTAACCGAAAACTTTACAAGAGGATACCGTTCAGTTGTTACACATGACATGTCCTTTAGCACTTCTGTGACATGAGTTTGATAACTGCTTGTGCAATTTTCTGCAGTCTAAAGTTTCATGTTGTCTGCACATGTACTTTCTTTGGAGACACTATTTGCCTCCTTACAAATCGAAAAATGATAAGATAGTAACTCTGATTGATTTACATATTGTGTTGACATATGACCATTGACATTGCTTTGTAGTCTTAGGAAATGACAATAAATTTTTGTTACCCAACCCTTGAGTTGTTTCGTTTTTCATTTACCCAACCTTTTACTCACTCAAAATTTTGTTTACCCAACCCTTTTCTCTTCGGTGCCACACACCCCCCCCCCCCCCACGGGCTAGTAAAATATTGGCTTTGTATCTCAACAAAAAGTAAAATCTGCAGGCATGTACGAGCGTCCTACCTTGGATCATTCTTCGCGCGTATATTCTCCTCAAACTGGCTGCCATTTCTGGCAACATACTCCGCGAGTTTATCACATATCGGCTTTAAGTCAGGAGGAGGAGGGATAATGGGAGGGCCAGTGGTCATCTCGGTACCTGGGTAGGACAATATAGGACCAGCTAGGGATGTTGCGGGGTTATTAGAGTAGAACATGGGTGGAAACTGAGGATTCCCTAAAATGAGAAATGTTTTTCAACGGTTGAATACTTTGATATGCATAAAGCAGGGTAGGATGATATGGGACCAGCTAGGGATGTTGCGGAGTTATTAGAGTAGAGTCAATGTGCTATGTTCTGCCATTTTGAGGTTTGCCGATCCTCAAAAATACAGTTCGAATTGACCGGGTAAATTTGAGCAAGGGAAAATGAAATTTGTTCCAATTTGCTCTATATTTATCGTCATGACAACCTACGAACTTCTACTTACCATTTCCAGTTTGTGGTTCTATCCCAGGTGGTGGTGGTGGTGGTGGAGTGATGCCAGGGTGTGTATATGGATAACCGGGGTAACCAGGAGGATAACTCATGGTTTGTCCAGTCACGTTCATATCTGCGAAGAAAGTGTCGGCCTTAGAGACAAATGAATTGGTTCCCGTCGTATCATCTATAATGAAGTTAAAAATTCATTTACTAGTTAAAGATCAAGATTAGGAATTCTATAGCGCAATGGACCATTCCCCAATTAACCAAAATTTTGACTCAACAAGTCTAGACAAAAATTTCATCACAGCTTGAAAGAGCATCACAAAATTAGTAATATTCCAAAGTTTCGTTGCAAAATGTTGTAAAATGCGGATAATATAGCCTTGCGAAGTTTGCAATTTTCAGTTATTTTAGATTACAAACGGGAAATGGTTACCACTTCTGTGCATAATACAAAATGACTAAAAATTACAAACTTCGCAAGGCTATATTATCCGCATTTTACAACATTTTGCAACGAAACTTTGGAATATTACTAATTTTGTGATGCTTTTTCAAACTGTGATGAAATTTTTGTTTAGGCTAGTTAAGATCAAAATTTTGGAAAAGTGGTAACCATTTCCCGTTTGTAATCTAAAATGACTGAAAATTGCAAATTTCACAAGGCTATATTATCCGCATTTTACAACATTTCGCAACGACACTTTGGAATATTACTAATTTTGTGATGTTCTTTCAAGCTGTGATGAAATTTTGTCTAGACTTGTTGAGATCAAAATTTCGGTTAATTGGAGAATGGTCCATTTCTATATACTTAGCCTAGATTATTTTATCTTTACAACAATTGTGGTATTACTTTCTTAACCGTGTTTATCCTAACCCACCCTGTCAACTTTCCCTGTGGGAGGAAACCGCATGCCTTCAACTTCTAAGACTGTATTAAATTCATACGATTGATAATATACGACGAACTACAGTATCTTTACTACCATTTATTTGAAGGAGTTTGTTTTGGCCGTCGTCGTCGCGTTGCCGTCCTAAATTCGGAAGATCTCTAATAATTTGACTAGACGCGGGTTTACCTGGATTAACAGCAGTCCATCCCGGGGGGAGTGGCGGAGGTTCTAAAGGGGGGACATCTTTCTTCTTTGATGTGATCGGAGCTCTCAATGACGCCGTGAGTAGAGGATGAAGTTCCATTTCTTCGTCACTGTCCGATTCTTCTTCCTCTGGATAAAATAAGAACAGAAATAGAATTCAGGATTTTGGGCCGCCATTTTTTGGCGACAACAGAGGTTGACAACAAACGCCTTCTATCATGTGGCTTCGATGTTTACCGGGCTTCCAGATCACATATCTTGACAGACCAGTGGTGTAACTTTACTTTTTTGACCACTTTCCCTCAGGGCAAGTTGGACAGGAAAATGAGTTGCTCTGAATAAAATTCACTAGGTAGGGGGTATAAATTAAGGGGACAACATGTTGACCCGTTCTCCCATTGCTCTATATGGCTATGTTATACTGCCTCAGATACAGCTTTGATCCACTCAAAAAACAAAATTTGAATCAAGTACATGCACTATAAAAAATTTATCCGACAATGAAACTTTTTGTAACAACGCAACTTGCCCAATCGGGCAAGCAAGATAAAACGCTCATGATATTCACTTGCCCTGGGCAAGGCAAGTGTTAAGTTACACCTCTGCAAACTATAAAAAACTATCCTAATTAGCCATTCCGAAGTTGATGAGTGGACTGGGGACGAATGTTAAAAAAGTGCCCAAATTAAGAAATGAACCGAATTACGAAAAAGACCACCTCAAAATTAGTAAGTAGACAAAGTCTGAAAACGTTTACATGAATACCCTTCGAATAATAAGCTTTCGAAAATTGTGACTGATTAAAAGATTGTTCGGAACTGAGTCTAGGTCCCTCAATATCAATGTAATCTAATAATCATGATATTTGCTGTGTTGGTGTAATGTACTCAGGTGAATAAGATTCCTATGGGCTAGTATTCCAAAGGTCGTAGGTTCGATTCCCACCGTGGCCAGGCATATTTTTCAAGCCTGCCCGGTGTGAATATACACTCAGAGTAACATCGCAAGCATCTTATTCACCTGAGTACATTACACCAACACAACAAATATCATGATTATTAGATTACACTGATATCGAAGGAACTAGACTCAGTTCCGAAATATCGCATACTCGAACCGACCTGACCGCGTAGCTCAGTTGGCAGAGCATTGGACTAGTATTACAAAGGTCGTAGGTTCGATTCCCACCGTGGCCAGGCATATTTTTCAAGCCTGCCCGGTGTGCCAGGATATTCCAAAAAATCCAAGTGTTAATTACCTTCTTCTGCAGGCGGAGGGGCAGGCTTTGCGGGTTCGTAGCTTCCACTACGTACGGCCTTGAGAATGAGCTTGTAGTAGGGATGGAGTCGATGATCAAATTGGATGAAATCAAACTGCGGATTCCCGGACTGTTTCGCTTTCACAACAATCTCCATTTGTGGTCCATGATCTTTGATAAAGAACGCCGTTCTTTCTATGATTGTGTGCAGTTTGGCTGTGTCCGGCTACACGGGAAAAAAAAGAAGGGACCCTGTTAGATTTATGAGAAAAGAAGACGTAAAAGGAATTTTGAAATTCATGTCATCACAATGTAGAGCACAAAATTGGGAGAAAAAAACATTGGGTTGATATAACAAGGAGAAAACATTCCGTCACATACTTGCCTATCCTCTACGCTTGTACTTGCCAAAAACTCATTAATTAAGTAGACCCCGCAGAGACGGTCAACAATTTTTCCTTAGCTACTTATATTTGCTTGTGTATGTACGACAAAAAATTAAAACCTATTAATGATCACTGTATAGAAGAACCGGGTTTTCTTGTTCAAAAGCACGACTAGATTTCAAACAACGTGGCTTAGCAATGTGATGAAAAATTTGTCAATTTTTGTAGTACATTCACAAAAAATAAAATATGCACAAAGAAAAATGTTCGTCTGTGGCAGAGGCCATTCGTCTAATAGAGTTTTGAACACCATTTAGTTGTAGCTGACTACATTTTTTTGAAGTGGCTGTAGCGAACTACAAAAAGTTTGCAGTCAACCCCGTGAGTGGAACACATGAGTAAGCACTCGTTAAAAGCAAACTTGAATTACATAATGTAACATAAGGTAACATAACCAACAACAATCATGATCTTCATAAGAATTTAATAGTATTAAATACTTTACATGCAAGTATGCGCATACGTGCACTAAAAATACGTTTCTGCATTCAGATTTCAGTTCAAACAATATCACAAATATAGTCTATACACTTTACAGGAATGCATGAACTTCCAGACAAATTGCATTATATCTTTTTGGGAAAGCCAGTTTGACACTGGCTAGAGACTGTTCCAGAGTATACTGTATTCATTTCTTCTAAACTTCAACGAATATATAGAACGGTGCGTTCAGAATGTAATAGAACTCCTCCCGTAAAGCCTAAAACAAAATCGCTCAGCAACGATAAATCCTGCTAAATAAATGGTTAGTAAACTGAACAATTTCGGTGAAAAGTATTTTCTTCTGATATTTATACAAAATTATCTTCGTTCTTCATATAGTTGTACCTTCTCTGCCTTCAAAAAAAGAAAGTTTTTGTCTTTTTAGAAAACATAATTATATATCATGTGAAATACATGCTCCGAAATTGTTTTTCAGCAACGGATTAATCTCAAACAACGACAGACACGGACTTGTAGACTAAACAAACTAGTATTGCAGAAAATGCCCCTTTAGAACGTTGTTGTAGAAAATTTGTTTCACATGCTTCAACTTTTAAATCTGAAGCGTGTCGTATCTTATATGTGATAGAGATTTCCCTTGATTTACATAAACTATAACTTTGATTTTCTCGAATTACAAAACGTATTTTTTGAAAATTACTTCACCAATGAACTTAATAGATCGATCGTTTTTGAAGCAATTTAAAACATTCGCAGTGCGTCTTTTATCAGACCTACAAATACTCGGCTTCGCTTTGCATCTTTATATATGATAAAACACTGCTGCTCATGTACATAAAACATTTATATATGTCTCCCATGCACTAAGCCAAAAAAATAAAATACCTGGGTTTCATATTTCTTGTTGCAAAAACGTAGGAAAGGTATGTACTACTATCGATAGGGTAAGTTTAAACATTTTGTGACTTTTGGGAATGAAAAAATATGGATATTTTTCAATATCCAGGGCTGCAAATAAATATTTGACTTGACAGGACATTTGTCCGATCACTTTTAATTTTGGTCGGACATAACTTGAATTTGGTCGGACAAAAACCAACACCACTATAATATTATATGTCACAAGATATACATAAGTCACGAGACAAGTATGTATAGCTATTCCGGCGCAACGTGAAGTAAAATGCTAGAATGCCAAATTGAGTGAATTTGCAATCGGATTTTGTCACAGCAAAAAAATGTATAATGTGACAATTTTTTTTATGTGATCGGACGAATGTCCAGTCAAAATTACTTTTGCTCGGACATTTGCCAGATTTAGTCGGACATTGTCCGATGTCCGACAGTAATTTGCAGCCCTGATATCTTTTTTTTTTCACTACCACAACGAATCAGTTATATGTATAGGATAATCTTGAACTGTTTTTGCCAGTGTGGGTAGCGCCAATCAAATGAACAAGCTTTCTTTGGTCCCTACCAACTACCTGAAAAATATAAGGGACTGGTCATAAAGTAACTGCCAGGGTGGGCTGGAGGTAAATCACAAATTTTGCCAATAAGTTTGGTGACCCATCTTAGGATGTAGATAAAAATTTCAAAGCCCATCTAATCTTACAAAATATTTTTCATGACCCACCCAATCTAAATTGGGAAAATATACTTTTATAATAAAAAAAAAACTTGCAGGTATGAACATTGTAAATATACACCGGCACTGTATTGACGCACATAATTCCACCAAGCTAGACATACTGAGCTGCTCTCCAAAGTACTAGCTTCCATACCATCATTTGCATTTGATAATTTGGTTAGTTTTGTTTACTTTTATTATTAATATCTTTATTTTTTTAAGTAGACATGCATGGGTTTTTGTTTGGTGGCCCAACCGTGGACATACAAAAAAAATTGGCGACCCATCGAAAATGCCCAAAGATTTTCCATGGCCCATCCCAAATCACTCCAGCCCACCCTAGCAGTTACTTTATGACCAGTCCCTAAGGAGAATTTCGACGTTTTGAGCGAAGGCCCTTCGTCTGAAGTCACTAGTGACTCTAGATGAAGAGCCTTCGCTCGAAACGTCAAAATTATTCTGGCTTATATTTCCAGGTAGTTGCATCCGAAAGCCTATTTGTAGGATAGCTATAATAAGAAACATCGATGTACTAGTCATTAAAAATACCTACATAATCCAATCGTGAAATGAATTCTTGTATCACCATCTTGAGTAACTTTTCGTGCATTTCCTATGGGAACTTACCTTGTCGCTTGTATTGTCTATTTTCAGAAACATATTCCTCCCCATCTCGTGAAATTCTGGCGACGTCTTCAGTACTTCAGCCTCACATTCATTTAATCGAGTTTTCAAACAGGGAGAAGCACAAGATTTTGCAGAAGAGAATATGACAAACACAAGACAACATGATAGTTTTGATTTGCTATTTTCGGATGACTTACCGCTTCCATATCTGCAGGGATATCAAGTTCTTTAGGAGGAACAAACACCTCGATCTCTTCTTCCTCTTGTTGTGGTTGTTGCTGTGCTGGTTGCTGCTGCTGTTGTTGTTGTTGTTGTAGTAGTAGTAGTTCCTGTTGTTGCTGCTGTTGTATTTGTTGTTGTTGCTGATGGTATTGTTGTAGAAGAGGAACCATGGATGCTGGCTGTTCTTGCAGTAATGGAGCTGGCCCTAATGAATGAATTATATAATATTATATAATACCTTATTAAATTCTAATCATTTAATTGGCTGTTTATGGTCACGTGATATTGAATAGAAAATTCCATTTCCCAAGAGTGCAATGGAACACGTTCCATTGCACTCTCCTCGAGTGCAATGGAATAAAACGTACAGTATAGTACAATTGCACTCTTTGTGTTTTCGATAAATCGCATCCCTCAAAATGCTTCTCATACGAATCTATTAGTCTGTTCTGGACTTTTGGTATTATATAAAACAAATAATGAATGTTTCTTCGTGCAATGGTAAGAATATTTTCACTCGGTGAAAGATGGAAAGTTCCATTCAACTCGGCTGTTGCCTCGTTGAATGGAACATTCCATCTTTCACCTCATGAAAATATTCTTACCATTGCACTCATAAACATTCATTATTTGTATATTCACTTTCAGTTAGTACACTTAATAAAATTACAGATAGAATAAAAGAAGGCACTACTGTCTAATCATAGCCTATCGAAGGGAAGTGAAACTCTTGTTGTTTACTAATATATTACTATTTATATGTTGTTTTACTATATATTACTATGTGGTTTACTATTAATTAATAGTGTTTTAAAAAGGTTTTTAAAAAAGATAAATTCTGAAATTACACTGAAAGCCTGCTTCCACTTTTAAATATGGAATTTCCTTAAAAATTTCTTGCCGGAGCCGGACCCCACTGCAGGAGCTAAAATAACTAGAGTTTGCACAGTTCTACATTATAACTCATCTATGTCAGTCAATGTTTATTCATAAATCTGGTCTTTTACCGTCGCATGTGTTTTGTATTTTTGCCCAACTAACCAATAGCAATGTTTTAGGAAAGTTACCTATCCGTGACTCAAACAATAGGGTAAATTGGAAATGGTCAAATTGCTATTGGTGGATTTGGCAAAAATACAATACGCATGAGACGGTAAAGGTATTTATGAATAAACTTCGACTAATAGCGTTGTCCGCAATTGACGTCACGAAAATTCGACCCCCCGCCAAGACTCAGACAAACATTGGCAACATTTAATATAAATAGTATTACGATTAAGAGCTTCCTGTGAGTTAGTTTGATAGTTTGATCGTTTGTTTACAGTTTATTTGTGCGAAATCATACACACCTTGTACTTTTCGCTTTACCTGAAGTGCCAGTGCAAAATATTTTTGCTTTGGAAGTAGAAATATACACTTTTTCGTCACTTTAGTATCGACTGTCATGTCGTTTCTATCATAGGCAGTGTCTCAGGCTGTGTTATAATAGTCCATGGTTTGGCGTAACTGTTGCTATAAAGAAAGGGTATGCAAAAGAAAGGACGATAGAAAGTCTGTAGTAGCAGATATTTAACGAAAAAATCTCGTAGTCATACCAGATTTAATTCGTAGCCCAAGCGAATCAGTTCTAAAGTTCCCTATTTAATGTTGTTGATTTCATGTTACTAACTTACCTCGCTTTAGTGTGCATTATTTTATTACTTTAGACATCTCTTTTATTAATAGCAAAGTCCAATACCAAAGAAGCTAGGATTATTTACTATAATCTATTGACTACATATTCAAGTTATAAAATACGGATTTATTAGGAATGTAATTAAAATTAATACTTTCAAATTTAAACTTTTAAAAAATGTCAAAGATAAACTACAAATATAAAATCTTCCGTTGACCAGTAAAACTATTTTGCTTTGACAATACAACAAAAAGATGTTATTATAAAAACAACATTTTTATTTATTTATTTTTAAAGTTTTTTTAAAATAGAGAACCGCCCTTTATTATTAACACTGTATTAATTAAATAGCCTAACACTGTCTGGTTAAACTATTGCTTCTCTCAGTCATAAATTTAACAACAGACGCTCTCACTAAAAACGATGGCGTCCCAGACTCATCTTTTGAGCATCATCCATCTGATTATACTGTCGATTTATAAACTCAAGCAGTGGTTAAAATGTATAGGCCGGCTTATAGCAAAGCGGTATAAAACGCCACGTTCTTCTTCAGCGAGTTAGCGATTGCTTTTAATAGTTCGGGAAAGCATCGTTCGCTGGATGTATTGACGGGGGAAAATGGTTAGCTGCGAAAGTTCTTGGAGAATAACCAGCACAGTCCGCAGTCAATAACAGTCAACACATTGCTACTGCTGAGTACTGTTTCAGCAATTATTCTGAGTATTTTGAATCACTTGGACATGTTCTCCAGCAAACAGAGCTTAGCAATAACCATGTTTGTAGTTTGGGATAAATTTAAATTCGTTTTAGCACAGATAAAATAAATAAAAACGTCAATTTAGACCAATTTATGTTCGCTGCTAGTACAATTCTATACAAAATGTTAGTTTGTTTGTCTGAGTCTCGCGGGGGGTCTTCATTTGGAAAATCTATTTTTAGCTACTGCGGACAATGCTATTAACATAGATGATGAGTTATATTGTTATTCTAATGAGTTTCGCAGCCATCTTCTCTTCAATAGGCTACATATGGTCTAATGCTACACAATTTTATTCATCAAGGGGAGATCATTATCACACTATGGAGACTTATAAAGCCTGTAACTTACCAGCACTGTGTTCTTGAGCGAATGCATGATAATATTGGGTATTCATGTCAGCATGTCCTTGTGTTGAATCGTAGTTATATTGTGGATAATATTGTTGATCATTGTAGGTCATGCCAACTGCACTGTATGAACCACCTTCGGAGGCAATCGCTGCTTTGAATCTTTTCATTTCTTCCTCTAAAAATGTATTTTATAGATGTGGGATGAGTTGGTGCCACAGTTACAGAATTAGCCATTCCAAAGTTGACGAGAGGACTGGGGAAGAGTGTTAAAAAGTGCCCAAATTAAGAAATGAACCAAATAGCTAAAAAGACCACCTCAAAATTAGTAAGTATACAAAGTTTGAAGACGTTTACATGAATACCCTTCGAATAATAAGCTTTTGAAAATTGTGAAATTACTGATTAAAAGATTGTTTTTGGGATGTGCATCCCAAAAACAAAAATTACAGTACATTTCATAGTAAATATCGCAATTTTCGAAAGCCTATTATTCGAAGGACATTCATGTAATGTCTTCAAACTTTGTATACTTACTAATTTTGAGGTGGTCGTTTTAGTGATTTGGTTCATTTCTTAAGGTTACTCCACATGATGAAAGTCCATTTCAGGAAAATGCTCGCTGCGCACTAAATTTTTCAGTTTCCCCCCTCAAATTTGGCACTCACAACAATAAATCATTGCTGCTGCTACTACTTTAACAAAAATTATACATTTTTAAAAACTATGGTTGTTACGAGCTGCTTTTGAAAATATGACGCACGTCGCGCGACGAGCTTTAGAACCATCCGATTAAACTCAGAAGCTTCCGAAATATCACATTTCCCATGTTAAATGATCAAACAACAAAACCGTGTTCACGGTTTTTGACAGGTATTATATTTGCTGAGATATAAAGCAGATAAGTTGACTCATCAAAAATTTGCAATAACGATAGAACAGAAGCCTATAATTTGAAAACTAAAGCATTAAAAGAAAAACGCGAACACGGTTTTGCTCCTCTGATGTTGTTCTACATCGTGGTAAAGATTTGGTAGCAATTGAATAAAACGTGCCCGTTCCATAACTCGTTTTGTGAGGACAACCGGGCTGATAATTCCTTCTCTGTAAAAGACAAAAAGTGATTTCGCCGAGATTTTCCGTTCTCTGTTATGTTTCTCCGCCCCTTGTCATCACTTCAAACTAAAGCCAATCAGGTTCGACTTTTAAAGTGTGTTTTGGCTGGGTTTCATTTTGACTCAGCATCAATGACAAGGTGATAAGCAAGCGCATTTTATATAGTTATATATAAGATTGATCACTTTTTAAACCGGCGTTTTACTTAGAACGCAAATTACACTGTGTTGTGTGCGTGTACCTACAATATTAAAGTGATGTAGCTATATCTAAAACAAACAAGTCGCCCAACTTGAATACCGCCACAGATGCGTAACATGCACCCTGTGGTCAAACCATATGGTCAAACTTATCCACAAACTGTCAATCACAATTAAAACTTTCCCGGGGAAAATATATTAGACTATAACATTTTCGGTTATATCTCGGTTGCATTTTAATATTTTCAAAAAATATTTGCGGAAATGGAAAGATCTCTAGCCCCTCGATATAAATCGATAAAAATGTAAAAAAGGACAAAATCAATGTTTTCATCATATGGAGTAACCTTAATTCGGGCACTTTTTAACATTCATCCCCAGTCCACTCATCAACTTCGGAATGGCTAATAGAGACCTTACAGAAGACGGACTCAGCCAAAAAAGTGCAACTGCTACCACACCATTATTATTCACCCCCCTGAACATCTGCCATTTTGAATATTTTCAGGGGGGAGGGGGTAAATGCCTCTTGTAAGTGTGCTACTACTACTAGTTACACTTAACAGGATCTACCTTCATAATCATCACCAGAGCCATTACCATCGTTATTTTCCAAGGCCTGGTATCTTTCTTCATCACAGAGTCTTTCTATTTCTTGCTCGTCGTATGACAGCTGCCAGGTATTGTCTTCATCTGACGAACCCTTGGAAATATACGGCGAGATATCTTCCAGCAGAAGACGGCCATCAAATCTAGGAATGTCAAAATATTGCATAGTCTGATTAGATTTTGTGGATTTTTTTGAAATGAAAACAAACAATTTTATGGTTGTTCATATGCGAAGTTTCGGTGAAAAGCTGGCTGGAGAATTGATCAAACAAGCGCCAAAGGCATGATTTGCCTAGGAGAAGGGTCTGGGGGCACACTCCCATAGAAAATTTTCTGTATTTGAGTTCTCTGAAATTCTGTGATTTTAAAATTTTTTACCACGACTATAAAGTCATACAATGGTGTATACCTATCTATCATAAGCGATTCATCTCCCATCCACGGCATCAAATGGCGTCCCTCATTGAAATAAACTGCCTTCTGATCATCATAGTATACACTGCAAGCATATCCAAACACCAACAAGTTCTCCTCTCTGCCACGCTTGTCTTTTTGACCAATTTGTCTTGGCACATGTTGTTGGCGAGCATGTTGGTGTCGCTTTTGATACGAATTTTCTTCTTGTTCGTAACCAAATTGATTTTTAAATAACACGGACATGGTTCATGGCTTTCGCTTTCTTTAGGTTTAAAAATATAAAGCGAGAAAGCATTCTAAAGTGGCTAAATAAAGCTAAATAGAAATCAAAATATTTCTTTTACAGTGAAATTTTGTCCACATTGAATATTGAAATATTGAATATTTTCTCTTTGAATATAATGAGAAGACTGAAACGAATACCGCTGATCTCACACATGAAATATACGCTGGACTGTTATCTTTGGCCGTTCTTTAAAAAAATGTCAAAATATCAATCGCAGAGCCATCATTCTTCAATCCCAGAGCACTGGAACAGTTGGCAGTGGATGTGCTATTCATCTCTGCGACCGTATTGTAGTTTTTGCAAAAATTCAGTTGCCCACTGTTGACCCTGCAGAGTCAATCTCGTACCAAGAGATTGCCTGCGAACAGTCGTTTTATATAGGAGATTACTTGGGTTTCCTCCAGAGGAGATGGCCCTTACTGGGTGGACCTCTCGGGAGAACAGTTTAGTACTGAATAAGCCCCATATAGACGAGCAAGTTTTCTTGACAAGTTTACCTTCTCGCGAGTACGGTCGACAAGTTTTCCTTGCATGACAATTACAAGTTTTTTTGCCCTTGTTCACGGAATGTTGTCAGTTTATCTCACGTCAAGGCTGCCATATAACGCATTTGTTTGCCAAAATCACAGACGTATTTCCAGTGGCGTAGCCAGGGGGGGGGTAAGGGGGCTCTGCCCATCAATGGAGGACTGCCCTAGTGAAAAGCTGAATCCTGACTTACATTTGAACTTGAATAATTTGCGCGCATAGCAGCAGTTATGACCGACTTCTACAAAACGAAGACATCGTGCTATTTTGCTGTTGTATTTGCGTGTACAGTACAACGTTTTACCGAAAAATATTCTTTTCGATCTAACAACATTAGGCGACTTCTTTAAACATCGTCCTAAAATACGTGAAATAGCGTTCTAATGAATCTAGACGAATTCAAAATTTTCCCTAGATTGCTCGCGGCTTTGGCGCTCGCATTCGAAATGCCATAAACATCCCCCCCCCCCCCACACACAAGTTTAGACTCTGGTTACGCCACTGAGTATTTCTTTTACACTTGTCAGTCAAATTTTCCTTGCTTAAAAGCTGGCATGACTAGCTGTGGAATAAAATTTCTTGGCAAGGCAAAATTGTCAATTTCTTGTTGTACACACGAGCAAATAAAATTTGTCAAGGATAAGGAAAACTTTTCAAAGAAAACTTGGTCTGTTGAACAGGGTTTAACAGACAGAGTTATCAAGTAAAGTTAGTTTAGTTTAGTTACTGACGTGAGGAGACTGCACAGCATGACCTGTAAGGCTGTAACATGGAAATTAAAAGACCAAACACATATCTTGTTATATCGGATGATAATGAAGAATAGAGAACCTGCAACTCAAATGTTAGAGAATGCGGACATTGATCAAGTTTGTTTGAATAGAACTGAAGATAAGTATTTAGTAACTGGCTAATGAACTGATGAAATTCATGGGAGGAATCTAAGCTATGTTCGAATTTGTTTTATCGTAAAGAATATTTTGAAAAAAGATACATCAAGGTATAGATTATCAGTCTGGCATTCGCCTTGTATTTCAACTTAATTATGAAAGAGTGGGGGAAAGTGTGATATATAATGAAGCGAATAAGTGATAAATAAAGTAAGGTTTCCTCTGGGAAGAACAGGCGCAATTTGGGTTTCTCCTGTAGTAACACTGGACAAAATTAACATGGACCTTACTGGATCAATTATACTGGATATCTCGCCCCTCTGGGGATAACAGTTAAATCAATTAAGAATCATGTTATTTTCGCTGATGAAAGCTTTGCTAAAGAGTAAACATAAACTACCAAACAATTACAAACTATCTAAATTATGACAATAATGACATATTGTTCTAATTTGTAGTATTTCAGTCCATTTAATTTTATTATGCGCCATTTCGACAAGAGCAGAACTGTGAGACGAGGTCCTGGGGGTATGCTTCCCCGAAAAATTTGGCGCCATTTCCTGCGCTTTCAGAGTGACATTCGGTTTTGTTTTTGCCTTAAATATCTGTATGGGCGCTTAATTATTCATAACTAATTAACTAATTTTCATTTTTAGAACTAGCCATTTTCGAAATTGGGAGGCCTTGGGGTAACCCCTCATTTGCACATCAACAACATGTTCGGCAATATTGCACAGTTTCATAAAGTCACCAATTTTTCGCATTTATCATTTCCATTCGTAGAGGAAAGAATTCTTGCAAATGTCATGAACCCGTTCACAGCGGCCGTTGCTGGTGGGGCTTTGACACAACCGAGACGTTCGACCGCTCAGAAAACTCAGAAGAGCCTTTGTGGAAGTCCTACGAGACCGAATGAGGTACAAAAGCACAGGCAACCTGAAACAAATATGGAGCCTATTCATGATGAAACAGAAGAGAAAAAGATTGACAGACATGGGAAGGAATGTCTGATATTGTGACTGGAACTTTGAAACACGGGGAATTAAGTTTTGGTACGTCTTACGACTTACGGCATATATTGCGTTGACAAAAAATATTTACCCTCCCCACCCATGGTAAAAAATGTCACAAATTTAGGGACGCCATTTTGAAAATATTTCAATTTTATTTTTTATTTTCATTCATTAAAAAACCTTCAAAGCCATGTTAAATCGTTTATATTTTTCAAGAACTTTGACATCTATATTAAGAGGAGGAAGCGACGCGTTTAATTTAAGAGGAAATTGTAAATTAAGTGGAATTTTATTGCGAAAATCTGGACAAAATGTAATGACAACAAACCGTTTATTGTGGACGAATTCAAATGTTTTGTGCACGAATGTGGGTCTGTTTGCTCGTTCTAAAACGATTCCGCTGGTTCTGAGGCTAAGGTTGTATCAAAGCGGGTCTACTTCGACAAATAAAACATGGAAAGGCAAACTATGGACTATAGTTCGCGGGTTTTTACTGGCCACAGGAGGGCTGGTTTGGCTTGTCGTTTTAACTGCATATTTATCATTGGATAAAGTCACTGTTGATGTCTTAGAAAACGAAGACAGTGCTACAGCGAATGCACTTGAGAGGAAATTGGCTCAACATTTTTATAAGGAGAAGAACGAGGTCGATATTTTACGAAAGGAAAACGCACTCGATAGCATTTGGCAAAAGTTAAGCCAAGAGGAACAAGTTAAGCAAATTTTCGGGGAGCCTGTATTCATTTGTGGATATAACTATAAGTTGATGAATGAAGTGCAAGATTTGGCGAAATTTGAAAGTGAAGTGGATGGCGGAAAAACGGAAGGAGAAGTTGAACGGGAAAATGAAATTCAGGAGAATAATGAGACAACAGCAGACAATTCCGTGTGGGAAGCGGGCTGTTATGTCGAGGGCCCTAAGAAATTGGGACTTATGAATGTGAAATTTGAAAAGCACAACCAGGAATGGGTGCCGGTTTCATTGCACTTGGAGACGTATGAGAAAACGGGTCATGTTGTTAGCAACGTGTCGGGCTCATTACCAAATGGAATTAAGAATTTCACCAGACTGTCAAATTGAACATTTACTGTAAATTAATAACCCTTAGAAGTGCCTATGTCACAATTTTCAATTAATCAAAACATTAAGTATACACAATGCAATGTGAGTCAAATATCCATTGTCCGACAGTGACGTGACGTAAGGACTTCTAAGGTCAATTGGGATTTGGGAATAACACTTTGTGAAATAATTTTTTAAAATTTCAGAAAATGTACAGTAGGAAATGTCTGTAATTTTTGAGGCCCCACAATGTAATCATCACACACTTTTGTAAAAATGACACAAAACTTTATAGTATCAATGTTAATGATCAATGCAAGCAATCAAATTGTACCAAGTGCTAACGCAAGTAATAAATATTTATTCAATGTATAAATTATCAGCATAAATAACAATGAAACAATTCAACCTACTGTATGTCTAACTTACTGGACTTGTATGAATAACTCGACCCTTGACTCGAGGCCGGTTGCATAAAAAGGTAAATTACAGTTGGTGCAAAAGGTAGCCAATGGGGAACAACTATTTAAAGGGATATGCCAAATTGCCAATATAAATTAAGTTTGTCTTATTTGAAAGAACATTTAACATGATATATAAACTTCCTTTACAATTAATTCTGTATCTTGCTTGCGTATCAAAAGCAGCATGCATTCCGTCATCTTGGATATGCATTCATTATCAATATGAAACTCGATTTTCCGAAGTCTTTTTAGTGTTCAATTAACTCATAACATGTTAAGAAACTTTTTGAAGAAATT